ACACAGACACAATCTATCTATCTATCTATCTATCTATCTGTCTGTCTATCTACGATTTATGAAAATTGCATAGTTAATAAATAAATTATATCATTATTTCTGAAAAAATGATACACTGACAAACAAAAAGAGAGAGAGAGAGATTTAAGTGTTCATAAATCACAGTAAGTGAGACAGTCAGTCGGGGCAGACAGGAGGTAAGATTCCTGTTTAAACACTAGGACCTATTTAAACGTCGCCTAAAAAGTAATGCGACAGCAATGTTGCCAGACCGGAGGATTTTTCAGGCTTCAGTCAGAAAAAATTTGGGGTGGATCATGAGCGCACAACACCCTTGGCTCTTTTGTGTGTTTGTGAAGAGCGTGACGGCAGTGAATCTGAGACCTGTACTGATGGATGGCCACCCTGTATGGGCTTCTGCCACCTGCTAGCCAGCTGCTGTCCTCCATTTACTTGTTTTCCCATCTTTCTCTGAGGACAGGAGGGAGTTCTCCTCAGCTGGCAGGGTCTCAAGTTCGCTCTACTACTCCAGACCAGGCCGCACCCCGTGCTAATTCAGGACTCACTAGCATACACAGTGAGCCGCAGCAGAACAACACAGCCACAGCTTTCCATTTCACCATCACCCACACTTGGGCTTACTGCAGCTGCTGTCTGCAAGTGCTACATCCCTAAATGTTTCTTTTCCCCCCTTTTGAAAGAGATCCCAGGTTTTTCACATTGCATACTGAAGGTGGTACTGCAACAGGGCAGACAGACCCTGGGATGTCTGTCTCTACCCCCCTCGACACAGACTGTCTGGCTGAAAACAACTCCAGCTCTGCAGATAAGCTCCAAGCAGCATGACAGGAGGACTCAGCCACAGAGAGGCATGCCGGGGCATGTGGGTAACAACTCGACAGGCACAGGGACAGTGTGTGAAACAATATACACATGTAAATACACTGCCACTCATATTACCAAAGTTGATTAAAATAGTAAATCGCTGCAGCTTCATTCAAACATTAGCAGAATTTTGAGGTGCACCTTCTGAACTTGACATTCTTAGTATTTTTGTCTTGTTTTCCAGTAAATTGTTTAAACATCCTTAAACCAAGATACATTTACATGGGAAGCAAAATTACATGTCTTGTTTTCAGAGAAATCTAACAAGATTTTACTTAATTTATGTTCAGAAGTTTAAGGTTCGATTTTTAAGTGTTTTTGAAAGACGTCTCTTATGCTCACCAAGGCTGCATTTATTTGCGCAAAAATACAATATTACAGTGAAATATTATTACAATGTTAAAGGGGTCATATGATGCTGCTAAAAAGAACAGTATTTTGTGTATTTGGTGTAATGAAATGTGTTTATGCGGTTTAAGGTTCAAAAAACACATTATTTTCCACATACTGTACATTATTGTTTCTCCTCTATGCCCCGTCTTTCTGAAACGCGTCGATTTTTACAAAGCTCATCGGTCTGAAAAAGCGAGGTGTGCTGTGATTGGCGAAGCACACAGCGTCTTTACGACATGGCAGCGGAAACAACAGAACTACAGCGAGAATAAAAGTTACGCCTTCTTTCTTAGCGTGAACATTTGGGCGGCTTTATGCAAATCTTCCCACAGAGCGACGTAGGTATGTGGGGGCGTGTTAGAACGAGCCGTTTTAGGTAGGCGTGGCTGACTCTTAACTTTTATAAAGAATATCTCTTTGGATTTGAGACTTTAGTCTTTGCAACTTTACAGATCTTCTTTATGCACCAAGAGCTTGTAACAGTCCAAAGAGAAAGGAAAAATTTAAATGGCATCATATGACCCCCTTAAATAACAGTTTTCTATTTAAATATATTTCAAATTGTAATTTATTCCTCTGATGGCAAAACTGAATTTTCAGCAGCCTTGCTCCAGTCTTTAGTGTCACATGATTCTCCAGAAATCATTCTAATAAGCTGTTTTGGTGCTCAAGAAATGTGTTTTATTATGATAGTTATTCTTATTATTATATTTAACTGCCAAAAACAATTGTACTACTTAATATTTTAAATACTGTGGAAACTGCCATTTCTTTTTGATAAATTCAAAAGAACAGAATTTATTTAAAATACAAATATTTTCTAACATTATAAATATTTTTGTGATTTTTTATACACGCTTGATTAATAAAAGTATTAATTACTTAAAAAAAAAAAAAGAAAGATTTGATGTTTTCTCTATTTTTTGATTAAGAAATTTGATGAATAAATTATTTTGATTAATAATTACCTTGATTAATAAACGTATTAATTACTTAAAAAAAGAAAGTCTTAGTGACTTAGAGAATGTTTTCTCTATTATTTATTTAGTCAGTTATTGCAGTGTAACATCTTATTTGGTTCGAATTTATATATATTAGGGGTGCAACGGTTCAACTTATGGTTCGTTTTGTATCACGGTTTCGGTACGGCTCGGTATGTGCAATGTTTAGGGAAAAAACTATATTGTCAAATAAAAATAAAGAAAATAAGAACAAATAATCTAACTACAAGCAACAGCACAAATAAATAAAATAGAGCAAAGATACAAATAAAATAAACAGTGCTTTTATTTTTATTTTTTATAGAAACAACTGTTTCTTGAAGTGCCGTTCTGCGTCATCATCACGTGCCCACATGGAGGCACCGTCATCATGCAAAAAATCTGCACAAAGGATCATGGGAGCCCGAAGTGTCCATCAGTTGTACCCTTCGAAATCCTTCATTCCGAAGGGCCCTTTGAAGTGGCCAGTTTTGAGCACCACACAGATCTTCTCACTGCGCGAGCGAGTTCACGTCTTCTGGCTCTTTAATATTTAAGCTGGCAAGGCTTAAATGAGTTTAGTTTAAACGCAGATAGCAACGTGTGCTGTTCAGGTCTCACCTGCGTTATCAACACGTGATGCCGGCAAAAATGACAGTTATTCCAGCCAGTGGCGGCTCGTGGGTTTTAAAATAGAGGAGGCACACTAATTGTATTAGTCTGGGATCCCTGCCGATCATTATTATTATAGCCTCCCCTGCCTCCCCCGACGAGCCGCCACTGATTCCAGCATACAGCACATGCATTGAACAAAGAGTGACTGGTTTGTCCACGTTTTGTTTTTTTTCTCTCATCGCTCTTGTTGTAATGTATTGGGAAGCCAGAATTTGTATCCATCAACAGAAACATGCATTAGCCGAACCCTAACAAACCATATTACAGATGCATTGTCAGAATTAAGTTGAACCGCGGTCCTAGTGCATGACGAACCGTGTGTGGAGAACGGTACGGTTCGATTTTATATAATATATATATAATACAACCCTGTCAGATTATTCCCATATAAGAAAATACAGTCTTGGCTTATTTGAGGGGTATCTCTTATATGATATCTCTTATCATGAGAGGACCAAAGTTGGAAAGAAAATCCAGTAGGCTTCATCCATCCTGTGCATTTAGCACGTACCAGGATGAATACTCAGCAGACCGAATTTTTACTGGCCAGCCACTGACAATTTTTCAGTGCAGGAAAAACCCTAAACAACAACACAATCCCTCCCTCTTCCTCAATTTCCACATGCATCCGTTTATATTTACATCCATAACTAATTACAGTTTCTGTTGTTGTATTTCATACATACGAGAGCATAAATGCTCAATGACAGCTATATGAATACTGTTTTTTATGCTGATATGTCAGTACGGCAAAAATATGCTAGCATCTGTCTTCCCACCTGACCAAAGAAGGGAAAGTTCTTAGGAAGCACTTGACATTTCACACATTCCTTACATTCCCCAAACAGAGTGAGGAGTATGCCGTACCATCTCTGCTCTTGTTGAAGAACAGCTCCTCCAATAACAGGAAGCTGCAAATCGGTCAAAACACATTGTGGGCCGCAGTGGGCTTTCCATGCAGTGTACTCAAACAATAGCCCAATGATGGTACTATGGTAGCAAAAAAAAACAAAGTACCACTAACAGAACCAGACCAAAAAGCAAGCCTATTTTCATTCCTGTTCTCGTTGAGGAACAATTACAGGCAGAATAGAAATAGAATAGCATTGTCTCAAGTTTACTAATCATATTGGTTTGGGAAATGCCAACATAACAGCTATGTTTCCAAGTAAGATCTCGATGATGTTTGTGTACTCACCACCGATAGCGTTACACCTGGATGTGATCTCCCACAGCACCAGGGCCATGGAGTAGACATCGGTTTGCTTGAATGACTCGATGTTCTCAAGGTTGATCCTTGATTCCAGCACTTCTGGAGCCATGTACCTGGCTGTACCCACCTGGGAATCAGATACAAAGGACACTTTATATACATTTTATATTGTATATTTCTGAATGTCATGACCACGTGAACACAGCATTTAGTAATACATTTCTTTTTCTACTTTTATCAGTTATATTATTGCTTATTATTACCCATTATAAATATATTATTATTTTTTCGTAATCTGAAAATATTATAACTATGTAATAATTATTATTATGATTATAACGACAATTTTTATTTATGTATTTATTATTATTATGAAAAAAGAATAATAATATAACTTACACAAAATAATTCTTACTACTTTTATCAGCTATATTATTACTTATTATATTACTTATTATTACCCATTATAAATATATTATTCATAATTTTTTCATAATCTGAAAATATTATAACTATGTAATAATTATTATTATGATTATAACGACAATTTTTATTTATGTATTTATTATTATTATGAAAAAAGAATAATAATATAACTTACACAAAATAATTCTTACTACTTTTATCAGCTATATTATTACTTATTATATTACTTATTATTACCCATTATAAATATATTATTCATAATTTTTTCATAATCTGAAAATATTATAACTATGTAATAATTATTATTATGATTATAACAACAATTTTTATTTATGTATTTATTATTATTATGAAAAATAATACTAATATAATTGTAAAAAATAATTATTATGATTGTCATGACAACACAAATATAGTATTATTATCATCATCATCTAAACTATAACTAATATTTATTAATTACTATGATTATGACATCACAATTATTTATTTATTAATAATAAAAAATGAATAATAATGTAACATAAAAATAAAAATTAATTATTATGATCGTCATGACAACACAAATATATTGCTATTACTCATAAATCTAATTTATTATTTTATAACTGAATAAACTAATTATTTCAATTATATGTAGTGACAACAGAAATATATAATTTTTATTATTATTATTATTAATAATAATAATAATAATAAGTTTGTATTATATTATTATTATTATTATTATTAATGGTTTTATTAATGTGGTTGTTGTTTTGAGGGTACCAAGCTATTTTCATGTCTTTTTTATTCCTTTAAATTCAAAACACTTCAGCTCACTTCATTACTTGACCTCACTTTAAAAGTACAAAAGGTCACACCAATGAATCAACAAATTAAACGTTACATTAAACGTAATGTAAACATTAAATGTAACCTTAGCATTGAAGTTTAAACTCCCTTTGAACTATTTTTGGGGTCACTGTCTGGGACCAACTGAATGTTGACATACATCAAAGCACTCTGGGTATGCAGAGTCAGGTGATTGTTAGCTAGTTTATTACTGATTCACTCGTCGCCTTTGTCTTTTCATTTTCTGCCCGTGCATCATAAATCTGAGCAGACAGTTTGAACAAAGGGCGCACGTACATAAAACACACATCTGCACATGGTGAGATGCCTGAGGGGACTTTCCCTGCAAGTTATGACTTGATGTACCTGCCACTGTAAATCAATTTTAAATCATTTTAGGTATGGAACACGCCAACGCTTCACTTGACACTTACCAAGCAATAAGAGCAAGTGAATCTAGGTAGTCTTGTGCTGCACTGGGGTTGATAGAAAGTTTCAGTTAAGCTTCAGGGGATAGACTCCATTAAAGAATCTGATTTAAAACAATAAAATAAAATAAAATTTATTTTTAAAGCCTAAGGTTTAATCAACCAACAGTGCAACAGTGACTGGTCTATTCCCATTCATTCATAGGGATTTTAAATAAAAACTAATGGTACAATTTAAAATGACTGATTTAGTCATTTGCTGCAAGTATAACAACAACATATTTTAAAATATTTGCAAAATTTATATATATATATATATATATATATATATACACTGCCGTTCAAAACTTTGGGATCAGTAAGATTTCTAATGTTTTTCAAGCAGCACAACTGTTTCCAGCACTGATAATAAATCAGCATATTAGAATGATTTCTGAAGGATCATGTG